CAATACTATTCTCGCCCCATAAAAGATGCTGAACCAAATGCAGGTCAAATGCATTCTAGTTGTCCTTTGGGTATTATATTTTTTTTAATTATACCAAATATAATTAATTGTCCATTATCATTATATTGCCTTCCTTGGACAGCCTCCACGTGGCCCTTTTAACAGAGCCATTGACAGTTCCCAGTAAACACTGTACCTTCACAAAAAAATAGTAAAACAAATAGTCTATGCTTAGTCACTACCCACACCGCCACCTGCGATGGGTAAGAAATTATTTCCCACAACCCTCCTCATAACAAGGCTTTGTTTATATACTTATTCCCAGGCTGATGTATGTGTTCCACCCTGACCACCATTCGTACATTATTTCTGCTCTGTCCCAAGACTGCTTCCAGCTGTGAGCAGTTGGGTAAGACCTTGGGAAGTAGGAAAGAAAGCACTGAACCTCTTAGCACCTCTAGATTGGATGGGGGAGGGCAGACATAATCTAAGTGCGTGTGGCTGGAAGGTGGCATCCTCAGGGAAGGTGGTGAGAAAGGTCACAGGACTTCCTGTCACCCATCAAAATGGTGTTGCTGCAAACAAGACAGTCCTGGCTTTTTCTGCTGGGGTAACACTGAGATCTGAGGGGAGACACCTCTGTTCTGCAGGCAACATCAGAATCCTTTGCTTCTAAGTGTGTAACTGCCACTCCGCTGTGCTTGTTATCAATGAAGAGAAACTTCAGGAGGAACAGGAGAATGTAAAACCAAAACACAACAAATCAGATCTGCTCCCTCAGGCCAGCTGGGAAGGGGGCAGGGGGCCAGGATCATCTCACAGGGCAGCTCATCCTGTTGCAATCCGTTATTTGTCTGCCTTATCTTCTAATGCCCAAGCACAGCTTCAAATTCGTGCACAATGTCCCTGACCTAAAATTCCCTTTCTTCTTAGGCCATCAACCTGTCATCACTAATAGGATGTTTTGGGTTCTAAGTTCTCTAAAGTTTTTCAGTATTAGACAACAGCATTGTTCTGCCTCACCTAGCATTTTCTTTCTTTCTTTCTTTCTTTCTTTCTTTCTTTCTTTCTTTCTCTTGTCACAACCAGTTCCTCCTTTCTCTCTCATTTTAAGGGCTATCTTTAAAATGCCAGGAAGAATCAGACTCCCTTTGATGTGAACTTCTTAAGACAATTTATTCCCGCCCTAGCCAGTTTGGCTCAGTGGATAGAGCGTCGGCCTGCGGACTGAAGGGTCCCAGGTTCGATTCCGGTCAAGGGCATGTACCTTGGTTGCGGGCACATCCCCAGTAGGAGGTGTGCAGGAGGCCGCTGATCGGTGTTTCCCTCTCATCGATGTTTCTAACTCTCGATCCCTCTCCCTTCCTCTCTGTAAAAAATCAATAAAAATATTTTTAAAAAAATTTATTCCCCCATCTCTACATCCTCACCTGTGGGAATTTTCACATATTTATTTATGAGTTAATCATCCTTTGGCATCTAGTTGGTATTTCTTAGACTTACTTTAGGTTAGTTTTCTTTTTAAAAAAATTTTTAAATCAATATTACAAGTATAGGTGACAAAGTAACACGTTATCTTAGGCTTCTTTTTTCTCTAGTGAGATTTAGCCCCCATCTCTAGGGATAGGGTATTTTTGTAGCCTCTGCTTTCTGTTTAAGCTCATCCTTTAGGAATTTTTTAAAGAGTTTATTAGTGAAACAGTGACACAGAGAGTGGCTACTCCGCAGACAGAACAGATCTTCAGGAACTTTTAAGGCTTTCCTTGGGAAAGATGCAAAAACCAAGCCAAACCAAGAAGTGTGTGGATGGGGAGAGACCAGAGAAAAGAGGGATTGACCTTCTGTTTGCAAGCCAAACATGTTACCAGCTGTCCAACTGGCCCAGGACCAAAGGTCTGTGTTAATCTGCACACTCTTGCCACTAACTCAAAAGAAACTGCTCCTCCATGCCCTGGCCAATGTGGCTTAGTTGGTTGAGCATTGTCCTGTGCAACTAACAGTTGCCGGTTCAATCCCCAGTTACGGGTTCCATCCCTGGTAGGGAGTGTGCAGGAGGCAGCCCGAGCAATGATTCGCTCTCACATCGATGTTTCTCTCTCTCCCTTCCTCCCTCTCTAAAAATCAATTAAAAATTTTTTTTAATATACTTTGATTTTTTACAGAGAGGAAGGGAGAGGGATAGAGAGTCAGAAACATCGATCAGCTGCCTCCTGCACACTCCCCACTGGGGATGTGCCCGCAACCAAGGTACATGCCCTTGACCGGAATCCAACCTGGGACCCTTGAG